GAGCTGATACGGGTAAGTCTAACCTCGATTTTACGTTGTCTTTCGTCTTCACTGGGATATTCAATATAGTGTTCACAATGTTCTCAAAAAATTTCTTCTCTATATGCATCACATCAAGGTTGTGGCGCAAAAGAAGATCTTTCCAATATGGCAATTCCCAAAATATACTCTTTTTGTGCCAATTGTGCTGAACACCATAAAAATCAGGCATATTACTGGGAACATGCCAATTCCCACCACGAGGAGCTGTTTCTAGAGCACAGTAGTAATCGATTTGCGCTTCGATTTGTTCTCCAGTTAAATATGGAGGAGGAGNTCGACGGTGACAATCGAACCAACTAGTCTTCCTACCATGCTTCAACTGAAACGCATCTGTCATTCCATTACAATATGGACAAGCTAATCTCCCATGTGTAGTCCACCCAGACAACATACCATATGCAGGAAAGTCACTTATGGTCCACAAAAGCATCGCTCGCATCGTAAAGTTGGTTTTCGTTGAACAATCATATGTCATCACCCTTGTTGACCACAAATCTTTCAACTCTTTTATCAGTGGTTGTAGAAAAACGTCGAGAGATCTTTTTGGATGTTTTGGACCAGGTATTAATATGCTCATGAATAGAAACTCTCGTCGCATGCACATCTCCGGTGGCAGGTTATACGGTGTAAGAAAGACCGGGCACAATGAATATTGTCTCCCAGACATTCCAAATGGACTAAACCCATCAGTGCGTAATCCAAGATACACATTCCGGCTATTGCTAGCGAAATATGGATGTACATTGTTAAAATGTTTCCAGGCTCTTGCATCTGATGGATGAGTAATCTCTCCATCCGTCTGAGTATGCTCGGCGTGCCATCTCATCCCTCCAGCAGTCTCCTCAGATTGGTACAATCGTTTCAATCTGTCTGTGATTGGTAGGTACCACATCCTTTGGTACGGTACCCTATTGCGCCCTCGACCTTGCGGTTTGAATCGTGGCTTCTTACAAAATCGACATTCTTCTAACTTCTCATCATCTCCCCAGTAAATCATGCAGTTGTCGATGCAAACGTCTATCATCTCCGAGGGCAACCCAAGACTATATACCAATTTCNGTCTGTGATTGGTAGGTACCACATCCTTTGGTACGGTACCCTATTGCGCCCTCGACCTTGCGGTTTGAATCGTGGCTTCTTACAAAATCGACATTCTTCTAACTTCTCATCATCTCCCCAGTAAATCATGCAGTTGTCGATGCAAACGTCTATCATCTCCGAGGGCAACCCAAGACTATATACCAATTTCTGAATCTGACAATAAGATTCAGCAGACACATTGTCTTCTGGCAAATACTCTTTAAACAAGTTTGTCCATGCATCCATACAATTTTCAGGTAGATTGTGATCGGTTTTAATACTCATCATACTAGCAGCCAACGACAATTTAGACAGGCCTTCTCTACAACCACTGTAAATTGGCTCATTTGCAGCTTCTAACATTTCGTAAAACTTTTTTGCATCTAAGTTAGGTTCTTCAACTTCATCATCATCATGAGTTACAAATGCATCACCTACCATATCATGAACCCTATCACAATCTACCATTTGTTCCTCTTGGTGATGATAGCTATAACTACTGCTACCTTCATTATGCAAATGATCAACCGGTTCAACCTGATTACTACTGCTACCTTCATTCCTACAACTAGCACCTTCTCCATGTTGATACCAAATATAATAATATGGCATGAAACCTCTTTAAATGCTTCCAAACATTTTCACGAGGGCCTAATTTGGTATTGCAGCATTTTCGACAAGGACAGAACATCTTACCACTTTCCTGCGTGAGTGGTGTAGAATCTGCTTGATGCATAAACGTCTCCAACCCTTCCAGAAATTCTTTCGTCACCCTCCCGTTATTATCTCTGTGTGAATACATCCACTGCTGCAACTCGAAAATATTTCCCGGACCAGACATTTTTTTGTGTTTGATCAAGCTTATAGCTGATTTTTTTTTGGTGTGTTTCAAATGAATCACATAAGGTGGTATTTATAGAAATTTTCGAATCTGAGCATTTACTAGGAAATTGCTAGGAAAAGTAGGTACAAAACACGTTTTTTATTTAAATTCGATATTTTCTATCCAGTTCCTCCTAATTCCTAGTAATAAAACGGTTTCCTCCTAATTTCGTAATAAACCTTTACTATGATTTTACGAGGAAACGTAATACTACGGCTTTACGAGGAAATATACTTTTTCCTCGTAAGCTCCTCGTAAAATTACTAGGGTCGTACGAGGAAAACGTTTTCTCGTAATATTACGAGATCTTACGAGGAAATTTGATTTCCTCGTAAACCCGAAGTAAAGGCTTAGTAATTTTACGAGGAAGAATTTTCCTAGTAAAATTTCCTAATAAAGGCTTAGTTTTCTTGTAGTGAAACCAAGTACAAGTCAAAATATTTATTACTCGTACAAATCAAATCGAACACTAAATATACCAAAAATACCGAGTACTCGGCTTGTGCCCACCCCTATCTAAAACATCTCTCCGGTTTATTTCTTAACGGTAATATGTCCGATATCGTGTGATATATATACGCTGACAGTCCAGCATTCAAAGTTCTTGCCGTTTCATCTACTTACTGAGGCAATGTCCTATCCAAAATGTCCTAAACTTATAAGAAACTAGGTTAATACCGGCGCAAAGAGAATTATATATATATAAATTATTTTATGTCTTATTCTTTATTTTGTATTCTTTTATATATTATTTAATAAAAAATATGTATATATTTAATAATTGAAAAGCTGTAACTATTATATATACAATTAATTTAGCGAACACTTAAATAAATAATTACATTATTTATTTACAATCACTTTATATAAGTAAATTTAATTAATAACTAATATTAATATATATATATATATTGTATTTTAATTTGGATATCTAATAAATGAAATTTCACATTTAGTTATGATCACTTGTATATTTGTATAATAAATTTTTTAAAATATTGATAACATCATTTTTAATGTGAGAGATTTAGTATTTACACTAATTTATCATCGTTTAAAAAATTAAATTCAAAGTTTGTCATTAAAGTATTAAATTCTCAATACTTGTTCAATGCAATTTTTGAATTAAATATTTATGTATTTTTAAATGGTATTTAGTTTAATTTAAAAATCACTAATATATATATATATATATATATATATATACATCTAATTTAAATATCTATTAAATGATATTTCTTACTCACTAATTATATAATTTGTTATCGTGCTATAACAAAAAAAAAATATTAATCAAAATATTATATGTGAAATTGTAATTTTTTTATTAATTTATAGTCATTTTTAAAAGTTCAAAATATAACATATATAAATTTTAGCAAATATTATTGTTTAATTTATTTTCACAATATAAATTTAACAAAAAAAGTAGAGGATATACAATTTTTTATCAAATATTTCATATTCAATTCATTAATTGTCATATATATATATATTATAACCATATTAGGTAATTCCGTAAATTTTATTTAAGGAAATAATGATTAGCATTAATAATAGTTTTATGTTTAGTTTAATAAAAAATATATGTTTATATGGACCAACATTTTCCCTATTGAATTTGAGAAGCATTCTCATGATGACACGTAGCTACCAAAATATTTTGTAATGTTTCTCAATTAATATATAAGAGATATTAGGCCACAAATTTCTTCAAAAAAATATATTAAGCCACAAATAATATCAGGAATATTTTTTTTGAATGAATGTAAATATTATTCAATCCAAAAAAACCTTTGTTACAGTTTACAATGTTTCCTACTTCAACTTATTTTATAGAAAAATCTTCCTATTAGAATCAGTCAATACGCATAATCTGGTCTAGTAGAGAATCAGTGTTGTAACTCATCTCTCCATCTATTATCCCCTGCTCTTTGGATAGATAGAAACCTGTTCCTTACTCCTCTGTCTATCAATCCGATAATCTTATTTGGTGGTTTGGATGTTTCACCATGCCTTCTGCTATTTCTCTCCATCCACAGCCCATGGAGAGTGGCTTGAAACACATACTTCAGCGTGAATGCCTTAACACTGTTCAGAGTAGATATCAAAGCGATTATTTGCAACCAGTCACCTCACAAGTATGCTCGTCCTCCATCAACTCTCTCACAAAGTGTCCCCAAACTTCTGTAGAGAATCTGCACTCAAAGAATAGATGGTTTCTGGTTTCCAAATGATCATCACAGAGAGAACATGGTTTGGGCTTTATTAGGCACATTTAAAGAACATGGTTTGGGCTTTATTATGATTTCGGAAGGGCTCAAAACATGTTTTGCCTCTAAATGACAACAGTTAACTAACGGCCATATTGTCCGATTCAGGAGAAAGTTATGCAAGATTTCTCTTGGTTGGAGAATCAACTATATAGCAAACGATTGGTAGATAAATGTAACATATGAGAACATGAACAAATCATTGGAGAACAAACTTAAAATATGGTTGTAAAATCAAATCTCGGTTAGTTGGAGTTATGACAATATGGCATTGGAAGCAACAGATAGATCAACATAAAATAAGATTGAAAGTGTGTTGTTGTTTGAAGGTTGACCACCAAATCATAGAATTCTTCCACAAAGGCATATCGTCGTTTGTTGATTGTTTCTTTTCACTTTGACCACAAAAAGGAAAAGGAAGGAAAAGCTGCCGAGATCAAAAGTCTGAAATTTCAAACGTGGAAATTCCCTAAATCTACCCCTTGAGTTCGAAAACTCTATAAGAAAGGAGGAGGTTATTATTGTAATTCAGCAGAGGAAACTTCCGAGTCAGACAACTAAAAAGTCTAACTTCGAATTCCCGAAAGCAACCCCTTGACTTCCGATTGCACAAATAAAGAAAAAATGAAACCGCAAGGGTATTATTGTATTTCAGGCAACCTCTTACGGCGGTTATACAAATGCCTCATCCTCGTGGAAAAAATAATACTGATTAATTTTTTCTTTGTAAGAAAAACTCGATCTACTCCTCCTTTAAAGCCTCTAATCTCTTTCTCCTTCCCTTGTCAGGAACAGTCAGAAAAAAAAAGAAACCAACTTTTTTTCTTTTTGACAACTGAACTTTGTCCTTTGGTCGATATTTGTCTGCAAACTCTCTGAAGAATTTGGGATTAGAGAGCAGGGGGGAATAATGGGAGAATGTAGGCCGTTGGGTTTCTTACTGGGATTACCATTTGCTCTAGTTGCTCTCGTTCTATCTTTAGTTGGTGCTGTCATCTGGATCATTGGGTAATTAAATTCCCTCATTTTCTTCTTTCTTATATATATACGTTTTTTTATGTGCACCAATGTTTTCATTAAGATCTAAGCGATTACGATATTAAAAGCAACATCGTACAAACCACGATATGCAGGACAATACCTATATGTTTCTGTTTTATATGTTGTAAATTCATTTATACCTTTATTAAGATCCAATTATCTCCTTGTTTCGGTTTATCTTCTTCGTCTAAATTTAGCCCCAGATCTTGCAAGATTAACTATTAAATATATACTGATGGAATTATATTAATGAAAAAATTGTTTGGCAGGACGATACTGAGTTGTTTGTGCCCATGTTGCTTCTGTTTCGCTGCGCTGGCTAACTTCGCTGTTGATCTCATCAAACTTCCTGTCAAAGTCCTCCGCTGGTTCACCCACTCCATTCCTTGTTAATTATTATTCTTATTTTACTCTTCTTCCCTTCTTAATTATTATTCGTTTTAGTCCTTGTAATTTCTTTTGTAATAACATATATTTAAAATTCTTAAATTTGGGCTTTATTTCCTGACAGCTAGTAATTATTCTTATTTATTATTTTTACTAATCAAGCACGGGGCCGGGATCATTATGTTTGCGTGTATTTTTTCGATTGTTAGTTTAGTGGATTCTTCTAATGACACCAATTAATAATGAAATGGAAAATTTCATGTTTTTATATCGTATGTCAAAACTTGATATAATTCTATATTTATAGTACTTATATTTGTATTAAACGATTTATCAATATGAAAATAACCTTAATTAAGTTAATATTCGTTGTTTAAGTTTCATTAGATAAGTTTTTATATATGGTTTTTTGTAAGTTTCGGTTTTGTTCATAAATGATGTGGCATTTTATCTACGGAGTCATCGACTGTGGGAATTCATTCGCCGAAATCTGGAGTCGGTGGTGAGAAATGTTTTCAATGAAATTATAGTAGTTATTAAAATGTAAGAGAAATTACATATTCATTTAATAAATAACTTACTTAAATTTTGTTGTTTATTTTATTTTATTTCACATACAATTTTTTTTGAAAAATATTAGGAATNATCAAAACTTGATATAATTCTATATTTATAGTATTTATATTTGTATTAAACGATTTATCAATTTGAAAATAACCTTAATTAAGTTAATATTCGTTGTTTAAGTTTCATTAGATAGGCTTTTATATATGGTTTTTTGTAAGTTTGAGTTTTGTTCATAAATGATGTGGCATTTTTATCTACGGCGTCATCGACTGTGGGATATCCATTCGTCGGAGTCTGGAATCGGTGGTGAGGAATGTTTTCAAGGAAATTATAGTAGTTATTAAAACGTAAGAGAAATTATATATTCATTTAATAATAACGAAAATAATTAATTTTTGTTGTTTTATTTTATTTTATCTCACATACAAATTTTTTGAAAATATATATTAGGAAATATGTGCAATGATTTAACTTTTTNGTAGTTATTAAAACGTAAGAGAAATTATATATTCATTTAATAATAACGAAAATAATTAATTTTTGTTGTTTTATTTTATTTTATCTCACATACAAATTTTTTGAAAATATATATTAGGAAATATGTGCAATGATTTAACTTTTTGAACTCCTAATCTATATTATTCAACCCTCATTAAGCCATCCACGTATGCACCCGCCTGGAATTCACTTTTTTTTGTTTTTTTTTTGTCAGTTCGTTTTTGGATTTATTTTTTATTATTTTTGGGTTGAACTATATTATAATAGGATAGTTTTAACCGCGTAGGCAACCACGTGAGACTTGTTTTTTTTTTGCTTTTTGTTTTATTATTCGTTTTGGATTCATTTTTAACTATTTTGGGTTTGAACTTATTAAGGTTTAGGGTTTATACAACTATTTTGATCTTTAAAACAATTGCCCAAAAAAAAACATAAGAACCTTATAAATAAAAAGCCCATATGATAATAACCTAAATAAAAAAAAATCAAAAATACATGATAGCTGCGTGGTTTAAACCCACAATCTTGCATACTTAATTATACACCTTATACCACATGGTTAAAGTGTATTTCATTGTTTGTAACCATCTTACCAAGACTATGTGTGTTTAAAAAATATTTTTATGATGATGACATTAATTGGTTTATGTATGAGAGCAGTGAGAATTGAACCCATGTCCTTGGAGACCAAACATGGGATCTTAGACCATTTGACTAAACTGATATTCTTTGTTTGTAGCCATTTTAAAACAACTATACTATTTTAATATAAAAATGTGGGACTCACAATCTGCCTATGTGGACACCTTAAGGAGCCTTTAAACTGAATCATTATAATATAGATTTTCATTTAACAGTTTACCGAGAAAGACTTTGAGGATGATTGTTTGTAGTCTTTGGTTTGGTTTTTAGTTTTAGCTTTTCCAAAAACCATTTTTCACCCAATCAAAATTTTCACAAAATAGATTCCCTAAAATATAGCGAAACTAGTTTTTACAAATAACTGTTTTTTGAACACAAAAGCCAAAAACCAAGTTTTTGTAGCTTCTGTAAACATACGATTGGTTTTTCAAAAAAAAAAATTCAAAAACAATATTTTTTACAATATTTAGGCATTAATATAAGATAATAAGAAAAAGGATAATAGCTGTATACTAGTAAGAAGCATTTGCTTACACAATATTAAAATAATTGATATTAATACCATTCTTTAAATTTGTCAATAAAATTAAATTAATTATTTAAAATGTTATTTTCTAAAAACTGTACCAAAAACTAAATTTGTCAAAGCTTTATTGTACTAAAAACTGTTATAATATTTAAAATGTTATTTTCTCTAATAATAAAATGATGTAAACTAAAAACGTATATAAAAATTTAAATTTATCAATAAAATAAATTTAAAATTCTGAAGTTAGTCATTACAAAAAGATATATATATATATATATATATATATATATATATATATATATATATATATTACTGATAAATTTTGTGGTATTATATGAAAGGCATTCAAAATCATATTCTATATCTATGAGATTCACATTAATTTTATTTAAAAATATTTTATTAAATAATTTACGTGTCCTTTTGATGATAGTACTTTATTTTTTTATTTATTCAAAAAAAATTATTAATTCATTTGATTATTTTTAAAAGCAAAAACCAAAACCAAAAACCAAAAACTAAAATCTAAAACAACCATTCATGTTTTTTGAAAAACTAAAATCTACTACAAAATCAAAAACCAAAAACTAAAAACTAAAATCTAAAAACCAAAAACTAAAAACCAAAAACCAAAATCTAAAAACTAACAAAACAAACATCACCTTTATTTTTTCTGCTTATCACGAAGTCAATAGAAAGGAACCTATTGTTAGAGAAGAAAAACCTAGGTGATGATTGTTTACACTAGTTTTTAGTTTTAGTTTTTAGTTTTTAGATTTTGGTTTTAGATTTTGTTTTTGGTTTTTGATTGTGGCTTTTTATTTTTGGTTTTCAGCTTTTGGTTTTAGTTTTTAGATTTTGATTTTGGTTTTTGGTTTTGCTGTAGTTTTTAAATTTCTTAAAAAAATAAGTAATACATTATTTTAGAATAATACAACAAAATAAGAAATAAATCATTTAAAATCTACTATTAAAATATAATTATTATTATTTAATAATACAAAATACATTAACATGTTTTAATTATTATATATTTTAAGAAACTTATATTATGCTAAATTATAAATCATAAAATAACTATAAACTATACAATATTTAAAATATTAAAATATGAAAATTATTTATAAAAAAATTGTATGTAATTTAAATTATAAAATTTGAATGGAAGTTTTTCTTTTTCAAATTAATATAATATATTTTATCAATAAAATTTTATGTTTTTATAATTTAAGTTATTGTTTAATAAGTCTAATTATTATTAAATTATTAAATAAATTTATGTGTAGAAATGAATAACCAATTTCAATTATTTAATATTATATATAAGTATATAAATTTATTTTGATATGCAACATAAATAAATGATTAAACATTATTGCTTAAATGTTATCTTTTGTACCAAAATTTTATTAGACTTTTATCTTTATAAAGTATTATTATTTAATTATTAGCTAGTTAAAATGTACCACTTTCTAATGAAAATAAAACAAAATTCGTTTTTATTCCTAAAAACCAACAAAAATGAGTTTTTGGTTTCTCTTCATAAATTGATTAATCCCTAAAATTTAGGAAATCTATTTATTAAAAATCTTGATTGGCAAAAAATTAGTTTTTACAAAAACTAAAAACAAAAACCAAAATCTTGATTGGGTAAAAACTAGTTTTTGAAAAAACAAAAACCAAAATCTAATTCAAAAATTACAAACAATCATCACCCTAATTACTAAACCCATTAACAAGTAGTAACTGCCTTACGTAGATTATAAAAAGCCCACATTGATTCCAACGCTATAAATGGGCTTTAGCATTAGTGGAGAGGACACAGTTACAACTAGGCTTAGGGCAAAAAAATCGGAACCGAAAAACAGAATCGAAACCGAACCAAAATACCCTAAACCAAAATCGGACCGAAATTCTTAAATATCCGAATGGTTCCTATATTTATATACCCGAAAATTGAACCAGAACCGGAACCAAACCGAGAACTGAACGGGTACTCGAATATCCGAAAAAAACAAGTTAATATTTTTAAAAATAAGATAAAATGACATCAAGCCTACTTGAATTCAGATTAGATACTAAGCGTAAATACATTTTTACCACTAGACCATGTTATGTTTTATTTATTCTTTTATATTATAAATATATATGGTATATTTATATGAAAATATGATAAATATTTATAAAATTAACACTTTATTAATTCGAACTTTTGTTAGATTGATTTATATGTAAGTGTGTAAACACTAGACCATTTAAATTAACATATTAACTAATATTATATATATATATATATTTGATTTATATATTGAATGGGTACCTGAAACCAAACTGGAACCGAACCGAAACCGAACCGAAATCTCATAAGTATCTATTGTATATAAGAATGATTTATCCGATATACCCGGAACCGAACCGAATATCCAGGCCTAGTTACAACTTTACGTGAATAACCATTTTATCAAATAAACCACTTCTTTGCCCAAAAAAAAATCCACTTCTTGTCTATAATCCGATAAAAGAGAAAAGAAATCAATAATTTTGATCAAACAAAAAAAAAAAAAAAAAAAAATCAACAAGCATTCAAGTCAAGAAGATAAGATAGCTGTGATGGAAAGACAATGTTACAGGCCCGTCACCCAACGCAAACAAACAGTCAGATATAAACGATATCTGGAACATTCCACAGAATTCTCCACGCTCTGAGAAGAAGCAATGAGTGATGAGTCGTCGATTTTTAAGAAGACCAACTTCTCTCTTTCTTCAAAGATACCACAACAATCCAACACATAAGAACAAGAACAAGGCCCTTGTTGATTCATCATCTTATTAATACTAGTAATCGTGAAGAAGCGAAAAAGAGAAGTTGGGATGGGAGTTGATTACTACAACGTCCTCCAAGTCGATCGCAACGCCAGCGAAGATGATCTCAAGAAAGCTTACCGAAAACTCGCCATGAAATGGCATCCTGACAAAAACCCAAACAACAAAAAGGACGCTGAGGCCAAGTTCAAGCAGATCTCCGAAGCTTACGAGGTATGTTCCATCAGTCTCCATTCGTTTCCAAGAGCTATCTGTTGCTGATTCCCTTTGATGATTATTTTGTAGGTTCTTAGTGATCCCCAGAAGAAAGCTGTTTACGATCAGTACGGCGAGGAGGGTCTGAAAGGGAACGTTCCCCCTCCAGGTGCTGGTGGAGCCACTTACTTCTCTACCGGAGACGGTCCAACTTCCTTCCGGTTCAACCCCAGAGACGCAGACGATATTTTTGCTGAGTTCTTTGGGTTCTCCAGGCCATTCGGTGGTGGTGGTGGTGGTGGTGGTACAAGATTCTCTAGCAGCATGTTTGGTGATAACATTTTTGCATCTTTCGGTGAAGGAGGAGGAGGAGGAGCAGGTGCTATGCATCATGGTGGAGCCAGGAAGGCCGCTCCTATCGAAAACAAGCTGCCTTGTAGCCTTGAAGATCTCTACAAAGGTACCACCAAGAAGATGAAGATCTCAAGGGAAATTGCTGATGTCAGCGGGTAAGTGACTGATACTAAATGAAGCCTTTAAATTATTTTGTATGTAACTCAATAGGCTGAATTGTTTATGTGTCTTCTTTTGAAAAATCTCTTGCAGCAAGACGATGCCGGTGGAAGAGATTTTAACGATTGATGTGAAGCCAGGGTGGAAGAAAGGCACGAGAATCACATTCCCTGAGAAAGGAAACGAGCAACCTGGTGTGACTCCAGCTGATTTAGTCTTCATCATTGACGAGAAGCCTCACCCAGTTTTCACTCGTGAGGGCAATGACCTCATTGTCACACAGAAGATCTCACTCGTTGAGGCCTTGACTGGTTACACTGTGAACCTGACAACGTTTGATGGTCGGAGACTGACGATCCCAATCACCAACGTGATCAACCCAGGGTACGAGGAAGTGGTTCCAAAGGAAGGAATGCCCTTACAGAAAGAACCGACAAGGAGAGGAAACTTGAGGATCAAGTTTAATATCAAGTTCCCCACGAGATTAACCTCAGAGCAGAAGACAGGAGTGAAGAAGCTTCTCGGATAAATTGAGCTATAATCAGTACATATCAGTCAAAGCAATGTAGATTTAATACTGTTGTGTCCTTGCTCTGTAACATATGTACCGATTAAACACCCCTAATAAATTTGTTTGTTGTAATCAAAATCCAAAACGCCTTCTACACCATTCCTATAAATGCAAGAGTACTGTTGTTTTTAATCACATCCTGATCCTGATGTGCGGAAAACAGTTGCAACACTGAACAGATTTCAGTCCAGAAGGGTTTGCGATCATCTCCCGCGACAAACTCTTGAACAACATTGTCCACTTCTATCAAGCTACAACCTGGTGTCCTCTTCATATTTCCGTTCCTTATCAGCTTCCTCAATCTCGAAACCTCTTCCCATTTCCCCAAATCTGCATAAATATTGGAAAGCAGAACATAGTTCCCCATATCCTCAGGCTCTAGCTCAACAAGATGGTCCATTGCGAGCAGAGCAACATCAAGATTGCTTCGTGTTCTGCAAGAGCTTAACAACGACCCCCAAATCTTTGAGTCAGGTTTCATCGGCATCGTCTTTATTATTTCTACAGCTCGTTCCAGTTCCCCTGCTCTGGCCAAAACATCGATCAAACAACCGTAGTGCTCAATCTTGGGTTCTATTTGATAATCCTCCCTCATCATATCAAAATATTTCAAACCTTGTTGCCACAACCCAACATGTGAACAAGCCGATAAAAGACCAAGAAACGTGATCCCGTTAGGTTTCACCTTCCCTCTCTGCATTTCATCGAATGTCTTGATTGCTCCTTGAGCGTTGCCGTGATGTGCATACCCTGAGATCATCGTACTCCAGGATATAACATCTTTCCCCTTCATTTGGTTAAACAACTGGATAGCTTGACTAATTGTACCACATTTCGAGTACATCTCAATAAGAGCATTGCAGACACCAGTTTGCTTCAGAAACCCCTTTCTCTCTGCGTACATATGGATCCACTTCCCAAGCTCTAGAGACCCGAGATGAGCACACGAAGGTAAAACAGAGATGAGACTGATCTCATCAGGCTCAATACCAGCTAACTGCATTTCACGGAAGAACTCCATGGCTTCAGCATAACATCCAACCCCTGTGTAACCCGAGATCATCGCAGTCCACGACACTATTGTTTTCTCCGGCATGGAATCAAACAATGTCTTTGCTTTCTTCATCTGCCCAAGCCGGGCGTGCCCAGAAAGAAGACTGTTCCACGATATAACATCTCTCTCAGACATTTCATCGAACACTTTATGTGCGTCGTCAAGACCATCAAACTTCATGTACATATCAATGAGAGCATTCTCTGTCACGACATGGAACTTGGGTCCGAATTTGCAGAGATGCCCGTGAACTTGCTTCCCTAAGTAACACATTCCAAGGCTTGCACAAGATTTAAACATGAAAGGGAAAGTGAACCGATCTGGAAGTTCAAGGCTATTCATGAGCATTTGGTTGTAGATTCGTACCACGTGGCGATACAAGGAGTTGTGGGTATAAGCTCGAATGATGGAGTTGTAAAGGAAGACATTAGGGTTTGAGACTTGGTTGAAAAGAAGAGTGGCGTAATCCATGTCTCCAATCTTATCGCAGAGATCAACCATTTTGGTGACTATGAAGCTGCTCTGAGATAGGCCGTGTGTGATGATGGAGGCGTGGATTTGCTTCCATTCGCCTCGGCTTTTGAATCTCTGTAGAAGAGGTACGAAAAAGTTCTCCACTTCTCTAATCCCATGGAAGGCCATTTAAATGTTCAAACTTTGAGGGCAGCAACTCGAAGCTGCTCTCTGCTCCAGTAAAAACAACAAATAGCTCCGGTTCTGGGATTTCGCCGTCAAACCCTTGTTTCATTTCGTGTAGCCAAGTTTGATTCGGACCGAACAATAAAATAACAGAAATCCTCTACTGTACGTTTATGTCATGAAGATTCAACTGAGTCTAAACAATAACCAAATTAACCCAAACCGAATCAAATTTTACCCAAACCAACCAAACTCAGCTCTAATTACAAGTTACCGTATTGTAACCGAACCAAACCAAGTTCTGCCAATGAGTTTTAACGGAATCAATCAACCTCTAATACAAAACATAACCGCATTGTCACCGAACTGAACTTAAGCTAATCCGAACTCGCGAGCCATAAATTTACGTTTGGAAACGTTTTTCCCATATCCTCTGCACGGAAAATAGACCCTTATCCGTATTACCTAAGATGGCATCGGCCTGTGTGAGAGATTTAACCGAATGCATCTCTAAGGCTTAACTGCTTGTAAGTATTTTTGCCTGTCTTGTTCTTGGAGTTTTTATCGTAGGACTGTTGTAAATGGCGGGTAGAAAGCTGGTTCGATATTTGCTGATCACAAAGCAGCCTCTGTTCCTGCAGTTGGCGCAAAGATTTGATAAATCAAAAAAAAAAAAAAAAACAAGTGCAAAGATTTGCATGTTTTTTGGTTTGTCTCTGTTAAGAATGTTCCTTTTCTCTTTTTCTGAAATCATTTGCTTGTACCTGTATTATTGAATTATCGCTTGTAATTTGGTAACTGAAATACTATACTGATGGAATTTATTTTAGTGGCGGTGCAGGTTTCTTCAAGTGTGAAAGACAAGTTCTCAGCGGCCACAGAAGAGGTTTTTCTGAAAGCCCGCTCTTTTTTTTGTCCTTTTAGTGGTTAATTTTCGCATTTGCTGGGTGTTGAATTCGTTTATGCATTTTTGTGGTCAGGTCAAGGAGTCATTCAAGCCTGGTAAGGAGGAGAATGCAGAGTCAGCGAGTTCGTCACTCATCAGGAGCAGAAACCTCTAAAGGGGGAAACCAGCAGCAGCAACAATCAGGCACTACTGAGGGTCATCAAAGAATATTTGAAAAATTCGAGTCAAGCATTTCTTCTCCCCTTGACTTGGCGAGGAAGGGACTTGACATTGTAAAAGATGAATTACAAAGGAGGCTCATCTAAAAAGAGCACCTGGAATACACGTCTCCCCCCGCCATTTACAGGTGTGAAAAGTACAAGAACAGATCTGGTGGTTAATCCAACAAAACAGTCCAAGTGGCAACAAAAATGTGAATCTTTAAGAGAAAAGGTAGGCGACCCTCTTGTCTTGTTCGCTTATACCATGTCTCTTGTTTAGTTTGAATATGGTTTAGATGCAAGGTTACCCTGGTTAAATTCAGAGATCGTATCTTGCAGTAATCTGTTTGATGATACTGCTTTGTACTTGTACGCATTTGGACTTGGATTGCAGAAGATATTGTGAAAGATGGGAAACTAGTGACAGCCCGATTGTTCACAAAATTCAGGAGTATGCTCTCTAATTGCACCCTTATTAACTTCCTTTAAAAAATGAACATGCTTACAACAAGTTATATATATGTGTGTGTTGGAGGCAGTGTTTAACGAAAGAGATTCTGGATCAACTTACAAAGAGATACGGCGCCTGGTAAGTGGTTCGTTTTGAAAATGTTCCCTCTCTCTCGGTTAATGATATCTCTTTCATGGTTAGATCGTTCTCCTTGACGAACCTTGCTGCAGAAGTTCATGAAGCCATCAAACCAGTTTTGAATGCGTATAAAAAGGTGAATGGTTTTGAAATGGATCATCTACTTTCATCTTTGTTGCCTCTAATTATTTTTTTCCAAAGACAACAGCAAGCCGCCGCGAGGTGTTGCAGCACGTGACTGACTGAACGGAGCATACAAGTTTTTTATTGTCCAAGGAGCCAAAACACACTTGAGGATGTAACTTACTATGTGATGGCTTAATCTAGTCAATGGTATACTAATATTACATAGAACCTGCTGCTTGCCTTTGTTTGATCATTCGACTTTGGTATTTAGATTATATCAAATTTGAAAATTAACAACTCTCTAAGTTTTCACTTTTTAAAGGTTCACGAAAATTGCTCTCTTAAATCACAATGTGGAGACATAACAAGTAATGACAGTTTAAGTCAACATTTCATTAAGAGACAACATAGCAGCAGTAATAATAGAGAAGAACATCAGCAGCAACGTGTGTTCATGCTTTCAGTACTTGACAGGTGCGCCCTGGGTGGGTAAAAGACCAAACCGTTTCTTCAACAAAACTCTCTCCTTTGAATATTTATCATCAGGGGAGAATCGGGCTACAATAGCACAACCGTTTCGTTTTCAGTGAACGAATCAAACTTATAAAAAAACAAACACAAAAGGGTTGTGCGGGATCTGCTAAGACTCACCTGGATGGGCAGATTCAGTGGCTGACCCGAGTGGTGATTCCTTCTGCACAAATTGAGTTTAGATTCATGATAAAGCAACAATACAGTGAGTAGAGAAAAACCCAAATGCTGCTAAGGTTAGTTAAACTTGTGTACAAAAGAATAAGAAGTTAATCATTATTTTTTGAAAATAAGAATAAGAAGTTAATCATAAGCCAAGATCAATGTATAGGAGATAAGTGCACTTATTATATCTGCGTAAAAACCAAGCTTTGAAATATGTCTGAAAGACCTTCGTACACTAATATGAATGAAACAAACTTACATATATTAATTAAAGATTGAAAGCAAACAATCGAGATAACTTTTATTTAAGGCTAAACTGGTTACTAGTACCGTGGGATGTCTATACAACTACTTGTAAACTAGTAATCATATACCAAAAATAGAGAGATGAGACTAGAAAAGGTAAAGATGGTACCTTAGTGGTGTAGACCTTCTCGCCCTTCTCGTTAATATAGCACTGTAGATACATGGTCCTCCTTTGATTTCAATGAAGCCCTGTGCAGTAAAATTAACAATTATAGCAGATGTAAAAGACAGAAAACAATCTGATTAAGATTTTTTTTTACAGAACAAGATTCCAGTACCTCAGAAATTTTTGAGCCGAGAATACGATTAGGGTTTTTCGAGGGAGCGGCAGAAGGGATTTACCGTCAGTGTAGGGTGTATATAAAGTTCTCGAGTTAAAGAAATGCGCTTTTATAATAACTTTAAGCCCAATAAGGTCATATTGGGCCGTCACACGACCATCGCTAAAGGTGCTGTTAAATATGATAATTCCGAAGTACGGATCGCCGGCGAAAAAGAGAGAAAGCGATGAGGAAGTCTACAGAATCTCCGGCGACGTTGGGTATTCTGAAATCAGAAGTCAAATCTGAGAAACCTCCTTTCAGACTTGCCGTCGATGACACCAAACCTGTCCTTCAGGATCCGGTACAAGATCTCTTTCTCTCATTAAGGTCGAAATTGAAATAGTAATGAAGTAATAGGGTTCTGTTGGATCAAACTGAATGTTATATTGTTGCTTTCATTTATCTCAAGCTTCTTATGTTTTCTATGGAATGTGAAAATGTTAAACTGGAGAATGCAATTATGTTAGTCCCAATTTCAAAGTGTACATGTAAACATCTACTTGTTATAGCTATTTTTCGAAGGAATATACTGATTATAGAATCCAATCCTTTAGTTTTCTGAATAAACTTTCATCTTAGCATCATAACACCTTTGGTTTTTTTTGGGGCTTAGATTCTGAGATCGGACCCAATGGAGACAGAAGAAGCTGTGCTCAGATTGCCCTCCTTCCCACCCATAAGAACTTCTGAATCCTAACTGAGCTTAGAATCTATAATAGCTTAAGGCCAGACAAGTGTTTCAGTGTTTGTGCCAGCAACACCATACCAGAGTGTTTTTTCATTGCATTACCATGACATTGTAAGCATTGCAAATAAATTAAAGTTTGGTTTTGGGTTTTTTTTAAAAGTAGTCATCCTGTACTTGAGAGAGACACTTGTGCCACCGAATCATTGAATGAGTAAATGCTCTGCCTCTGGCAATAAACTCGTAACCAACATTCCTATTTTTCTTAACTAAAATCTCAAACATGTACTATGTTGTATTTTGCCCCAAAAAAAAGGTACTATGTTGTATTGGTTTGTTATTATTTTTCCTTAACTACGATCCAATTAGATTGAAAGAATCATAAGTTCATCATTAATATTAAAGAAAGAAAGAAAGAGAAGTCTGCATGAAATCTTACTAGAGAAGAAGTCCATCTATACCAATGTTTGAGTTGTTCCGCTGAGTGCGTTTTGGAGCAAGTCAGAACAACAAGTCAGAACAACAAGTCAGAACATTAGCATGCATTAATAATGTAAGGTCTTAAGTTTTTCTACATACAGTAATATTGGCAACTTCTTTTCTTCTTCAACTGAATTGTATTAAACTTTGGATGAAATATACGAGCAGGTGGAACACGTTGATATTCTCGGAAACACAGTCCAAAAGAGAAACACTAAAGCCCAGACAAGGATACCAAAGACCAAACTAAAGTATGGTTTAATATACAAGCAAATTTCTACAACTAGATCCTTCTGCAATTCTTAAAAAATCATAGATAACATAATCAAGATCTTAAGCAACCGAAAGTGTATCAAAAGACCACAGTCAACCAAGCGAACAAGCGGCGAAAAAGACTTAACATCACTGAAACACATGTCCATGATGAAAAGAAAGAATCACGCTGAATAGCACCACACACACTAACTCCGAAACATGGATCCGATAAGTAAAACACTCAGGACAACCCCAACTACAAAACCACAACTTCATCCGATTGAACCCAAACTCCAACCTCACTATACTGCTTCAAACATCCAAGAAGAAGCCACCGAGGAATTAGGAGATCAGTGAACAAACCAGGAACAAGACAAACTCTTATTAAAAGCTGCAGCGAGGACTCTTTCATGACTGGGAAAGGAGAAGTGACACTAACCAACTTCTTCACAACAATTGTGTTAAACATGTTTTGCTCACAATAAACACCACCGCTGAACCAATTCTGATAAGAGACTAAAGCAATCTATAAGACAAACAAGGAGACATATGATACATCCTCCGTTGAGTGGATAAGTATGTAGAACTTAGGAGAGGAGCCAAGATGGATAGAGAGAGGAGCATTTAACACAAAAACTTTCAAGCACTAAATGGAAAGAATCGCAGATCCAAAAGTCAGCCAAAAATTCATTCAACTAAATACTGACCAGAGCACATCAACCTTTGAAACCTGATAATTCAACACTACCACACGATAAAGTTTCACTTCACACGCTTCCACTTGCCCCAAGGCAGAGAACTAATCCATGTCGGAACAAAGAGGGTCTAAAACTCCGAAAAGAGCAAGTAACATATAACTTAAACCGATAACAAGATACAAAACCACCATATCAGAATTAATCTCATGTGGACTAAACTGGAAATATGAATCTTCAGTATGTGTGTGTTGAATGTAAAATGAATTGTGATTGACATCGAGAACGGGTGGCGTCTAATGAATGTGTTAAAGAATGAGAATGATGTGATGTTAAGAAGCCGAGAACGGGTGGCATCTAGAAATAGATGATGAGTTAATGATGAGGTACCCGCGGAACAGTAGTCTAACATGAGGTACTTGTGGGAAGTTAATAATGAGATCGTGATAGGGGCGCCGTAAAAGCGAGTCATGCCGAATTGTGGCATAAGTGACTATATGACCGTGGAGCAGAATGCTTTGTAAGGGGCCAAAAGGATGCAAGAGGGTAGTCACATAGTAAGCTGCAGGACAGTAGCATAACATGAGGTGCCTTTAGTGTTGGAATTCATGAATGTTTGTCTCATGTCAAGAGAATATTTAAGTTAACTTGTAACTGAATCCCCTTCAACTATACAACATGAACTTCCCAATACAATGGAAGAGACAATCACTGGTTAAATGAAGAAAATAATCTATAGTTTGATTAATCCTTGTGATAATTGACACAACACTTAGAGTTGTGTACTTAGATGAATGAATTAGAATCAGTAAGTAAAGTTTAAGAAAATAGATAATGAAGAGTTTGGTGAATGTTTAACAAGTATTAGGTTGCCTTAAGGCAGTCCCAAATCGTGATTCACTTGACCCTTAAATTATAACTATTGGTTAGACACAAGAGAGGGAGAGAGCACACTTTTTTAGACAAAGAAAGACTTGTACATTTGTGTTGTATGTTACCAGAGATGGAGAAGGCCTTTAAATAGGCAAGATGCAGCTGTGAACAACTAATAAAAGAGAGAAAGGGTAGCATGACGGAGGATAAAAAGGTGAGTTGGATAAAAGGATGCTTCTTTCCAATAGCTAGACTCATATTTGAATTTGAGTTGGATAAAAGGATGCTTCAGTTCAAATTCAAATCTGTGTTTACACCTTCTTCCCTTTTGAGTTCAAACTTCTTCCTATTTGTCAAGTTTCCTCCAACAGTCATCTTTGTCTTCTGATCACCAAGACACACGTGCTCCCTCCTTTCCTTGCATTCCAAGACACTCTAGGTCAAGTCAGATTGCTTGTAGAATAGACTTTACGGATCATACTGCATTCTAAGCATCAAATGCATTTTTTATTTTACTCACATTGAATCCTCATTTATTCCAAGACATTTCAACATCTGGGACTGGCTGACACGAAAGGGAACATCTATGAGTGATATACCTTATTATTTACCAGTTTTTGACGATGTTACAGACACCATTTGGAGTTTATTATGTGTATCTAGGCTATGTTTTAGAGTATTTACAGGTCTAGGTACGTTTTGGAGTTATGTGGAGTGCATGTGCATTTTGGATGAAGAAACCCGTAGCTAACAAGAATCAGCTAAGTAATAATCAACATAAGAGTTTGACATCGATCGACAAACACACACTCTAGCCAAGGACGTAGTTGGTAGAGGATTAGACACAGCATTTTCGTGCTATCAATAAGGTCGAGTCAGTTTGTAAACTTGGACTCGACATTGAAATGAAGCGTGATTGGACAAGGGCCAAATAGCGTTTGTCAAGATTGATATGCCAAGTATGCCCGTGGTTGTAGAAAACGTTTTTCCGTTTTTAGATCTGATTTATACGGTGAAAGTTTCGTATAACCTTTCCTTTGTTTGTATGGAAGTTGTTTTGTTTTTTGCCCGAGGGAGACAAAGCTTTAAGGAGCTCGGTGCCGAGCCCATGCGAAGTCAGTTGCGGGATGGTTTCGTTCCGGATGTAATCAAGAGAAATGAGAGCAGATGCTCGTGAACCGCAGAATGAGATCTTTTAGATCGTGGTGCGAGGAAACAAAGTTTAGATTGGTCGTTCAGCTCCGGATCATATAGCTTGTTTTTCGTTATAAGGAAAGTACTTTTCGCAAAACCTGTTATGTTAACTTTCGAAAGTTACTTCGTTATGACATGATCCTGATTATACGAAGGATTTTTCGCGTAAGTAACGGGCGATCAATTTAGTAAAATGACACGACGCATTGGGATAACAATGTTTCGCAGATTGTTTGAGAAATCTTTCCGCTTTTTTTTTTGATTCTTCGGTGATAGTTTCTTGGAGTCACTCACGGAGTTTTTCCAAAGGTTGTTTCGCCGAAAGCAAATCACAAAATGTTTTAGAGGGTTTCTTGAGCGGAACGAATCACTGACCAGCAATAGGATCAGTCGGCGAGCAGGGAGGACGTGTTCTCTATTCCTGCTTTGTGTTCTCGATTTTTCTTTTGCCGCAACTATTCTCGAAATTATTCCATGACTCAATTGGTTTGACGGAAAATGAGAGCAATGCTTTGATACCTAAAGATTTATCGTATAATCTTTTGCTTCTTATACGAAAATTGTTTTGTCAAGTTGGAAAAGATCTTTAGGACTTCGGCAGATCATCGAGTTTCCATTTTTAAGTTTCGCAGAGATTTTCTAACTGCATGATTGCGACGAGAGATGATGTATAGTCCTCGAGATTATTTCCCAGACGATATGGATCAGGTTTTAGCGTTTAGATGGATCTTAGATTGTCGTTTGATTTTGAGATGATTTTGACGAGGCATCGAATTGTCCGAATATTTCTGATTGGTCGATTAAAGACCATGGTGGATTGATGATGACTTTGAGTATGTCTGATTTACGAAAATTTCTAGGAGAGAGTCGGTTTTAAGACGACGTCAGCGTCTCTAGCTCCTTCTTTCTTTTGGAAATGAGATGAGTATGCTCGAATGCGTGGAGATCGTTTCTCTGTTGTACGAGAGATTGGATCAGTTTGCGAGTTATGCCTTAGTTTCATGGACGATTTGGGACTGTCCATTTTTCGTTATTCTTGCGTCTTCTGACTTATTCTCGTACGAATCAGTTTTGATGAAATACCGACGAGAGTTTCAGAGTGAGAAGGGATTTCGACATCCGAGTTTATGTTCTCGTTTCCTCGTACTGCTGGTCTTATTTAACTGACTAGGTGGGCTTCGTATATTGTTTGAAAAATCAATCACATGTTTATGATTAGATTTTTTCGACTTAATGTCGCAGAGTTTTGTAAAACCAGATTACGCTTAGAGAGTTCAAATCTCTCATATAGTTTAGGAAACTTTGGTGTTAAGTCGATCGTCGCCGTTTTAGACGGTTGATTCGAAATTATACGAAAACACAAGTCTTTGTGGTTTTTACGTAAAATCTCAATGGAAACTCCGATTGAGACGAAACGAAAAGCTGTACGAACAAGACTGGACATAGAAGCTCGAGAAGTGGTTCAGCTAGACGTAGGGCGAGCTGGCTGAGCCCTTTAAGCTCGCCATACGGCGAGCTGACTTGAACGATTCAGCTCCCCGTACGGCGAGCTGGCTTGAATGGTTCAGCTCGCCGTACGACAAGCTTGTTTAGCTTGGCCAGGTCGCCGTGTGGCGAGCTAGATGGTAAGAACCCTTGGGGGCAAAGTCAGTGCCTTGAGGGCGAGGTGGAAGGCCGGTTAGCTCGAGAGATAACCGACGGTGAGAACGGCGGATTAGAGAGAATCGATGAAAATCACCTTTGAGAGAAACGGCGTTAAGGTTTTCAGAATTTCGCGAAAAAATCTATTAAAAAACATCTTA